TCTTGCATTAATTCCTTCCTTCTATAAAGACACTTCAACACTGCCCAGGAATGGAAAAGCTCAGCATTGGGGTTGGCTCTTGAGCCTGACAAAGGCATCAAGCACTACCTGCAACACACAGAACAGTCCTGTTCCCCTTACTTACCAATCTCTTCCTCAAAAACTAAGCTCCTTTGTTCATTACTGCAGAGAGGAAAGGAAGAGTGACATTTCCCTCTAGGTCACCTCTTGCGTCCAAGGGGTTGGAGAGATGCTTACTTAAAAGCTGCATGTCATATAACGTCTGCCTGTCAATTCCTGCCTGAACAGTGTTCCTTCTTGGCTGTAAACAAGTGGCAAGCATCTACCAGTGACTCAACCTGCTAGGTAGGATTATTACTAACACCACCACTACCATCATCATGATTTACTAGTGACAGGACATTCTCCTTCCTTTCCGCTGCTTGACAACCCTGCCTGAATCCTTTCAAAATGCGGCAAATACCACCTTTGATAGTTGATAAAAACAAGTAACACAGTGTTTTGCCTTTATGGCTTATGTTCAAAACAGGTGTTTTCAAACGGAAGAAGTTGCAGATAATGGTTATTAAGATAATCATAAGAAAGGAGTAAAGAGACAGGTTGATTATAAATCAATGAGCTTTTGACTCTCCAGAAATCAAGACAACATCTCACCTGCAGGTACTACAAGAAATCCTTCTAGCGAGTATGAGTTCACATCCCTTCTCCTAAAAACTGTTGTAACCATTGCTCACTGACACCTTTCTGTACAATGTTAACTTTCAACCAACAGCGAGGGAAATCTCTAAGTCTGAAATACAAGCTAAAGTGTATTTAAACTGTAGTCATTTAAAGTACACTCATCTCTCCTCAGAACTCATACAAGATGTGCTCCTAGTGAAGAGGTTCCGACCTAACTGAACAAAATATTGATGCACCCATGCTCTCCCTGAGTACACTGCATGTCCTCCTTGGCCTCCTGCTGTCTTCAAGCCTGTGCTCAGTATGGCTGCTGCCAAGCACTAACCCCATGTATGTGCTCTCCTTCTGAGCATCCCTAGGTTGACAGTAGAAAAAGCAGCATAAGTAACACTTACGCGTTACTCAACACTATTGGGAATCTCAATGTGACAGAGCCTTTAGAGGGCGAGTCCCTCCTCCTGCATAGAAAACATCCCCACACTAGGCCTAGGCTGTGCCCAGGTGAGCAAATTGTCTTGGGACCTTGCTTTTGTAGAGGGCCTTAATAAAACCAGCCCAGTGAAAAGGTCGTGTCAGAAGGAGATACTGATTTTGTTCACAGTGTGCAGGGCATCACAGGGCTCAGTGACCAGCATGAAAAGTCACTGCATCAGCCCCAGAAGCATTGGCACTAAACCCACACCATCAGAGAATGCCATAACACTTCCAAAGCCGAGCCCTCAGCTCCAAACAGGCTGTACTAGCACCCCAGCTGAGAGGCATGTGAGCCCTCTGTGCCACCTTGCTGGTTCTGGTACTCCTCCTCCACATGCAACAGCCCAGCCTTGGGGGATGCTCTCACACAGGAGGCAACGTGACATCCTCCTTCTCCTGAGTCCCTACCTCATTTATCACAACTTTCCCATCACTCACCTGCAGTACATTATTTCCACTGCTAGTTTCCACTGTTACTTTTAGTCACTACAGAGACAACGGGACACAGAACAGACAGCAATGCTTACAAGACACTGTAACCTGTTTTTATCTCCTAGCCACTGATGCAGTGACTCTGTGCAGAAAATTCTAGTTCTGATTTCCATATTTTCATAGAGTCATAGAATAGTTAGGGTTGGAAAGGACCTTAAGATCATCAAGTTCCAACCCCCCTGCCGTGGGCAGGGACACCTCACACTAAACCATGCCACACAAGGCTCTGTCCAGCGTGGCCTTGAACACCACCAGGGATGGAGGATTCACAACCTCCCTGGGCAACCCATTCCAGTGCCTCACCACCCTAACTGGAAAGAACTTCCTTCTTATATCCAATCTAAACTTCCCCTCTTTAAGTTTTAACCTGTTACCCCTTGTCCTGTCCCTACAGTCTCTAATAAATAGTCCCTCCCCAGCATCCCTATAGGCCCCCTTCAGATACTGGAAGGCTGCTATGAGGTCTCCACTCAGCCTTCTCTTCTCCAGGCTGAACAGCCCCAACTTCCTCAGCCTGTCTTCATACGGGAGGTGCTCCAGTCCCCTGATCATCCTCGTGGCCTCCTCTGGACTTGTTCCAATAGTTCCATGTCCTTCTTATGCTGAGGACACCAGAACTGCACACAATGCTTCAAACGAGGTCTCATGAGAGCAGAGTAGAGGGGCAGGATCACCTCCTTCGACCTGCTGGTCACGCTCCTTTTGATGCAGGATACTGCAAGCACACACTGAAGCCAGCTCATGTTCATTTTCTCATTGTCCAACACCCCCAAGTCCTTCTCCTCAGGGCTGCTCTGAATCTCTTCCCTGCCCAACCTGCAGCTGTGCCTGGGATTGCTCCGACCCAGGGGTAGGACCTTGCACTTGGCATGGTTAAACTTCATGAGGTTGGCATCAGCCCACCTCAAAAGCGTGTCAAGGTCCCTCCGGATGGCATTCCTTCCCTCCAGGGTATCAACCGAACCACACAGCTTGGTGTCATCGGCAAACTTGCTGAGGGCACACTCAATCCCACTGTCCATGTCAGTGACAAAGATGTTGAACAAGACCGGTCCCAACACCGATCCCTGAGGGACACCACTCATTACTGGTCTCCAGCCGGACATTGAGCCATTGACCACAGCTCTTTGTGTGCAGCCATCCAGCCAGTTCTTTATGCACCGAGTGGTCCACCTATCAAATTGATGTCTCTCCAATTTAAAGACAAGGATGTCGTGTGGGACAGTGTCGAACGCTTTGCACAAGTCCAGGTAGATGACATCAACTGCTCTACCCCTGCCCATCACTTCTGTAGCCCCATCGTAGAAGGCCACCAAACTGATCAGGCAGGATTTCCCCTTAGTGAAGCCATGCTGGCTGCTTCCATTTCAGACTTGCCCACTTTAACTGCCCGTGGCATCCCAGCAGCACCACAGGGCACTCCACAGTCAATACTTTTTTATTTCAAGAGCAATGTCAGTTAGAGATGGGACCTGCAGAGACAATTTAAGCTTTGCACAGTGGATGTCTGAAAATTCACTTTATTGCCAGCTGAGTATTACCAGTGGAGAAGAGGTGACTGCAGTAGAACTGCCCGTTACTTGAAGTATTACAGGCTAATTTAATCCCTCATTTAGTACAAGGGTTTTTTGGGGCCATGGGAAAATTCCTGAAGTGTGCAGGATCACTGCAGGGAGCCAGCCTGTGGGCACACTGAGATGGTGCTCAATGGGACGGCTGCCTCTAGAGCAGCTCCTGCCCTCCTGCATTCCTTCCCACACTGCTGGGCTGCTTGTGCTATGCTTCCCAAGAGAAGTAGTACTGAAACTCAGTGCCACAACAAAAGGCACCTTAAACCTCAGGAATGCCAGCAGCACGTGTCTCAGGGATAGGACAGGCTTACACACACAGTATTTATCTTGACTCCCACAGCCACAGCAAGCCATGGCTTGTGAGAGAGAGAAGAGTTCAGAGGTGAAAATTGTACTTGTGTGTGTGCTTTATACAGCCTAAAAACTTAGAGGGCCAAATCTGATTCTTGATCTCCATTTCCCTCAGAATCACAGAGATTCACAGAGCCAGGAGAGACTGTGTGCAGAAGTAAACTAGGAGCTGGCCAGGAAACAGATTTATGGGCTTATAAAAGCTCAGGAAGTATAAAACCAGCCTTTGTACCCGATACGTACGCACACAAGTGCATCCATGCATGTACACACAGATCCCAGATCACACACTATTATGTTGGTTTCATTCTGCAGTACCACCCTGCCTCCCTTTACGGCTGTGCTTCATCTTTCCATTCTTTCCTCATAAAGCATCTCAGCAGCCTCCGAAGCATGGCACAGACTACTTGAATAATTAATTGTGTGTGTGTGTGTGTGCGCGTGTGTTCATGGTGCTCATGAAGTGTCTGAACCTCCTCTAGCTTGCTGAGTTGAGAGGAGATCCTGGGAAGGGGACCACCATCCCATTATGCCCTACATCTCACTCTCCATGAGCTTCTACAGGCATCTTCTGAGCTCACTGAAACCTTTTTGTTTCGCCTTTGTTGTAAGGCCAGAGCAAACACATTTCACCCCAAAAGAACGGCAGTATTTAACCCGACCCTAAGTAAAGTTACAACAGCAGGAACTCGGGCAGTTTTTCACCTTACACTGCCCTCCTCTATTTCTTCCTTATGCTTCATATATTGCCTGCCAATAAAACTCCATTCCTATTTGCTGAAGTTCAGTATTCTGTCTTTAGCATTTCAAACTGATGCTTGTGAGAACAAGCTATGTTCACTTGTAAATCAAACTGAAATGAATACCCATGCATACAGAAACACTGGCAAAACAAATGACGCAGGCAGCACGTGATCTCTCTAACTCTTGTTTTCAGCCTGCTGAGACAGGGGTCTCCTGAAAGTTTTTCCTCTTCCAAAGCAGAGAAAAAGTGAATTTCTTTGATCTAATCCAATCAATTCCAGTTCTGCAGCTGAGGCAGTATTGTGCTTGCCCGTACTCTGCCACTGTTCTTACTTTTTCTGTGGTGCAACTCACTGCAGTGGCAGGACAAGACACATCAGAGCACTGCGCAGCAACACCATCACCAATCTCAGCTGCTCTGTCCTTGTGTCAACACCATCTTAGGCCCTTTCCACCTGGAGTTGTAAGCAAGTTCTTGCTAAGCCAAAAGCAAGAAGACAGCTGCTTTTGCAATGGGTACAGTGGCTACAAAAGCAGGAACCAACCCCAGAAGAATAAAGTGCTCCAGGAGCCAGAGGAATTTTCTTTTTGCTCTTTTCTCAAGCCTCCTTGGTCTGTTGAAGCAGCCTCCTTGTGAAACTATGCCAACAAGTAAAAAGGTCATACCTGGTTAAGCAGATGATAGGATGCTGTGTCTGGTTCTTAAACAAGGGAAACTCTCTGTTCCTATAAAGAAATAGAGAAAAAACATGCTCTATTTAGTCTCTGTTCAGTGAATTTCGCATAAACTCAATACTATGAGGACTACAAGATGCTGTAAATGTGTACACTTATGTTCCAGCCTTTTCCTCTTAGTTTTGCTTCCCAAGGCTCACTAGAGATGCATTAATTCAGATCCCTGTTATGTCCAGCCTGCTTCGGGACCACCAAGGAGCTGCTAAATCCTTAGGCTTTCCCTAAGAAAAGCTGGCAATGGCTTCAAAACGCCACCTTCCCTGGATTCAGGGAAGGCAAATGGAGCACACCCCCAAGCCAGCCTCTCTCCACTGGGAGACCTGGCAGGCTGCTACATTTACAGCTTCTGCTGCAGGAGCATCTCAGGCAGGAACAAGGAAAGCGTCTGCCAAGATGCCCAGAAAGTAATGGAATAAGATCAGGAGTCCCTCACTGACTTCCCAGCACCCAAAAATATCAATGCAGGGAACTCCTCCATTTTCTTCTTAAAGCTGTTTCTCTTGCCTCACTTGTAGAGCAGAGGGCCTTTTTGCCACATGTATCTTTGAGTATCCCCTAAGTACCCTCTCAGACGCTTGTAACTGTGCTGCTTTTAATCGTGCAGAACTTAATTCCCCGTATATGATACCTGACTCAAGCTAATGCTTCTCTTTGGGAGTTATTTCTTTTAAAGGTTCAGCAAGAACAGGCCAGGCATTTCCAAGAACCAGATTAGTGAGGAATACATGACTAAAACCAAGTTAAAAACAAGGATAGGATTAAGGTAGTGAGGAAAAATAAGATAGAAGTATGGAATTAAAGAGAATCATAATGCATATACACAAAGGGAAGCAACCTTAAGCGGGAGTTCACACCTTTCCTATTTCCAAGCTTGGACTCTCATCCTTCGACACCGAGTTACTCTCCTTGCCTACACCATGTCATTGGCATGGGGCTGTGCTAACTACAGCTTTCCACCAGTTTGCCCAGTTAACAACCAGCAGGAATGGAAAGATTTTGCTGCGTTGAAGGAGGAAGGTTTCAGATGGTTCTGACAGCAAATAAACAGGGAGCGACTGCTCCACCTTACTGCAGAGGCTGTTATCAGAGTGCACTGTTCACTTACAGGCAATAATTAGTTACACTAAGTGAGCTATGTGGAGATGAGGCTCCAGTCAGCATCAATGCTACCCCCCTGCAGGGTGAAGAGGAATGTTAAAATAAGCTAATTAAATTTGCTCTGGCTCAGCAAAAAGATCGATGCTCTCGACAGCTGAGTGCTGAGCACTCGGCATCCCAACAGCCCTCTGATGTGTCACTGGTGCAAAGCAATGCCATGGAGCCAGAAACAGGGGAGGCGGATGCTCGCCTCTTGGCAGAGGTAATAGCAGGAGACAGAAGCATTCAACAGGAACACTAACAGAAAGATAGACACACCTGCAGCATGCGTGCCCGATGATCAGATGGCATTTTGACATCAAAAATTCTGCTTTGTGCTTTCGCACTGTCTACTGCCATTGAACATAGAACCACAGAATGGTTTGTGCTGGAAAGGACCTTAAACATGCACTCTAATAGGCTGAACTGAAACCCCTCTGCTAAAGGTTTGCTGCAATAAATGTGACTTTAGCCAGTAGCAGAATACCAAAAATACCAGACAAACAAAACAGAGAAGCCAGAAGCGAGAGGTGGTTTTGATGCCCCAGGAATTTGCTGGGGACAGGCTGTAATCAGCATTTCCACCTCTTGCTGACCAGGAAGAAAATGAGATGGTTCAAAGAATCTTCCCCTGGAAAACAGATTAGAGACCCCCACACACCAAGGAGCCAACAGCTCCATGATTGGGGCAGTTGTCTAGGAAGCAAGAAGTTAACATTCAAGTGCCTGGTCAGAACCTGGCACCACATGCATGAATGGGGTTTTTGACTTCTTGTGAGCATCTTCCAATAACTGCAGTACAGAATGTGTTAGGAAGGGCTTCTTCTTGTTTGCTTTACTCCCCAACCCTCTTTCTTCAGAGAGAAGCTGCTGAAGAACCTACCCCAGTAAGAAAGTCATTGAAATTGGCACAGTCTTTAGAAAAGCTTCAAGCTTTGATGAAGGAAAATGCTGGCTTGCTGATGCACCAGAGCCAGGAGCAGCACCAGGGCTGCTCCAAGCGTTGCCCTTCCCAGGGACAGGGCACACTACGGACAAGCTGATTGTCACTCCTAATCGGAAGCTGCCATCAGAAGACCCTTCAATCTTGGATATGGAAACCTTTATCAAGATCATGCAAGCTTATCACAATGCAGAAACCTTGCTGAAGTCTCATTCACAGACTCAGAATGCTAAGTGTACTCAGCATGCATTTTCTTTCACTGAAGAACATGTACAGGTTTCTGCTGATGCAGACTTACGCAGGTCTAGACAGCTCTAGGCCGGATGCACTGTGACCTAGCATCAAATGGATACAGGTACCTGTTTATTCTGCCTCTTCCTGTGTGTAGAGCATGTCACTGACTGCATCCTACTTACCCTGTTGTGTATATCAGGGATTACATTTCCTTCTTTTTGTTAAACACTTTGACATCTACCTATAAAAACTGATAGAAAAAAAAACACAAAGTGCATATATATACACACACAACAGAGGACTAAGTCTTGCTTTTATGCACAAGGTATTTGCAACTATTCTTCACTAACATACACCTACTCCTGTTTCTCCTCTCCTCTATTAAACTTTAAAAACCACCCTGGCTTGATAAATTTATACATTTTATTCAAATAAAGAATATATCTGTATTTTACAGGAGCTGTTTCCCTTTCTTTCCTTTTGGAGGACTTTTCCAAAGACTCCTGGATCACCCATCCAACAACACACCCATTCTGCACAGTTATCTGTGATGAAAATAGTAAGGACCAAGTGCAGACTCTTCCTAAGCTGTTCCACTTCTTCCCCTCAGAAAAGAGCTGTGCTGTTATCCTGAGGGGTCAGCCCATCCACCTGAGGCCCTGACCCTGCCTTGCACAGTTCCATTGGCTTCACCAAGCCCCTGCCCAACTGCATAGTTAAGAGAAACTCTCCCAAGCGGGAGCCTGTTTTTTGCTACGTATTCCCTCAGAGCGGTGTGCAAGCAACGGTTAAAACCTAAATTGCCACAAATTATTTTTAAGCATTTAGTGCTCTGCCCAACAATGCATTTTACACACATTAGTCTGCAAATACTAAGGCTACAAATGGATCTGATCCATTAGCACCAAAGCTTTCCACATAGCTTTTCCTTTTAGAGTACACTCTCCTCCTCCTTCCTACTTTCTATGCCCTCCATGCTTTCCCAGCTGGTGTTGATGTGGAGAGCAAAGGTCTTCCAAGCACTGCAGCTAAAGGAGGTCATCCAGAGGCCAGGTTCTGCTGGTGTAAACCGCTGACCATGAGCAGAAGTCAGTAGCTTACCCTGCCTGCAGACACGGCCCAAAAATTGCCGAAAGACTGCAGTAGGATGCTGCCTTAACTCCAGAATCAAGAGTCCACTGCCACTCTCAGCATTGATGCCAGCTCACTGGATGAGCAGTCCCACTGCTCACCCAGTGACTACAGCAATCTCCTCTCACTGTAATATCCACTTCAAAGGTTTCAGTAGTTTAAAACAAAGCCTCACAAGTTGAGAAAATCTATTAATGGGGAAAAGCATCTTGGGGATGCTAACTGGTAGTCTGAGCAGCTCACAGCCATGAAGGCAGAGGAGACAAGAGGCAGGGTGGGTACAACCCTGAGGAGGAGATGGGGAAAATGAAATGCTCTCTCAGCATCCAAGAAACATGGTAATTGGAGCCTGAAATACTCTGCAGGCAGGAGACACTGCTCAATCATTTATGGGAAGTTGAGGTAAGCAGTGTCAGCATAGTTGGCTTGGGACGAAACAGTTTTCTCATCCTCTTGACACAGAAGTAACTCGGCTACATTAGTGGCTGCCAGTAAGTAAGGAATAAAGAAAGGAAACAGAGAAGGAAAGCAAAAGATAAAATAAGTACATCAATATTTTCACAGCTTGCATAGAGCAGCCCAGCTAGGACCCTAAGGGGGTTTGTTTCAGGAACCTCAGAGATGGAAACAATCGGTACATTTGATGAAAATACATGGTGTCTGGGCTTTATAAATGGTGTCTCTAATAGTGTATCTGATTTTATAAATAGCAGGGAAAGAAATGGCTCCGATGACAATTACTGCCGAGGCATTTTGCCGTGACTACTGGCACAGTCCTGTCATTAACACTCCATTTCTCTTCACCACAACTTACTTCCTTTGTAGTTGCTCAGTGAAGACAGGTCTGGGGGCTGTTTTCCTGGTCTTGTCAAGATGAATTTTACTGCGTACTGTTTGAAAGATGTGCCACCTGCTATTTTATATCTATAATTTATTGTATAATGAGTGCTTATAAATCCTTATGATAGTTTAAGAGACTTGCAAAATGAATTGCTGGCCTAGTTGTTTCTCAGATCGTCAGCAAAGCAGGACTGGCTCAGGTCACTTTGAGTTCCTTCACACACCCCCCTCTGGCTGCAGCTCTGGCTGGCTTCATCCACAGAAGAATGTGGCCTCCAGGAGAAGGACCACGGTAAGGCTCTCACTGCTGCCATAGCAATGATAGCTTTTGGCATTTGCTTTAAGAAGTCTCATCTCTTTCAGATACCCATCAAACCGCTATATGGGCACAAGCTGTACCTTCACATGCTGGAGAGGAAAAGCTCACTCAAGAATCCTTTCTGGACAAGGACTGCATGCTACAGTCATTTAGTGAAACAGAAACCAGCAACCCAGCCAGCACGTTGGTAGGCAGGAGAAAGTCCTTAGCTAAGACGTGGGACTGTGAAATCTTCCACCGATGAGGGGCACACTGTCCTCACCTCAGTATCACACAGCACAAGACATGTTTCCACACTTCAGTCTAGCACCACACACCCAGAGCTCCCATAGGGAGCTGAAGACTTATCCATTTGGGACATTACTTTGCATTCCCCCTACCTCTCAG